AAGTAATAGGTGCGTTTAAGTTAAAAGGCATTCGCTTGTTCATAGTTCCAATGTTCATTCAGATAAACGTTATTTTGAAACTCTCGTTATCACTAAGACTGGTGAAACTGAAGAAACCGAACGTGACGTTACACCATAATTAAGGTTCATATGTAATTAGAATAATTCCTATGCAATTAATTTTTTTCCAGATGTGTTGGAACCAGATATATTCAAGAGAATCAAATTTTTCTCTGATCTCTCGTAATTTTTATTTTATAAAATTGTAAATATTTTGTTTTATTTTTAAAAATTGTAAAAAATATTATCATTCCCAATAACGAAACTAAGAACATATAAAAAATTAAAGATTATTATTTTTGTAATCCCGTACATATAAGTTCATAAAATAGAAAATATCTTGTACATAAAAGAAAGAAATTTTAGAAGAGATTTCTAATATTAATATTGGATCTGAATAAGAAAGAAAAATTAAATGTCAATTTTTTCAATAATGTTGTCGGATTTACAATTTATATAAATTAGAAACTGTAAATACCGATGTTTTTTGCGATAGTACACGTGTTGCGGCAAGTATAGTCAATATATGTAAATATTTATGTAATACAACGCATGACTCTTTACACTTTTATATTTTGAATCTATTGCGCCGCGGTATATATTATTTGAAAAATATTATTTGAAAAAAAAATAGTCTCTTCTCGTATTTTATTTCGATTTAATTACATACAAATGATTAAGAATTAATAAAATGCGTTCAAATATCCGTGAAATTCTGAACATTTGTTTAATATCAATTGTGCTACAATGATATATTCGAAATTACACAGCATATCCGAGGTAAAATACGTATATGAGAGCCACGAACAAAACGAATTGACAAGGCAATACTTGATATTCTTGAACATAGAAATGAATATTATGAGCATACGTGATTAATTTACTCAATAGCTCGTTCTATTGGTACTTAATTTATACCTATTGTTTATTCGCTTATATGCCACTTATATTTCATTATACAATTAAAACAAAATTACGAATAAGAAATTAAAAAAAAAAAATATATATATATATATATATGTGTGTGTGTATCGATATTCCTAATTCATAACATCGCACAATCTATGTATAAGAAAATTTGTTTAGTATAAAATATTTGTTGATACATTAAAACAATCATCGATATGTGTATTACCAATTCAATACAGTTTATATCATATATTTCTAATATTCTAAATTAATTCTTTCTGCTAAACGATTCCGATAACAGATGTTCAGGTAAGTGTAAAAAAATTCGATGGTTCGGAAAACTAGTATTTATGTCTTCGCTACCTCTTCATTACAAAAAACAACCTGCACTATGTTGCCATAATTTTTCAGGCGGTGATTACATTGATTAATCACGTACGATAGATATCTTTACGAATTACGTCACGCGTACGTGTAAACATCTTTTCTGTGTTCATCGAATGGATTTAAATTTATCAAATCATGCCGTAATCGAGAAGATTAGCATCGTAGCACGGACGAGCCAAGTCCCAAAAT